TGCGAATTTCTACTTCTTTGTGTTCTGATTTGGGTTTCCGATGTTTAAAGTTATATTGGCTCCTATTTTTTGAGTCCCATGACTATACCATTTTCCCCTTATCTTTCCTAAGATTTTCATGAGCGGGTAATGGCATACAGTAACGGGGACATTTCTCCTTTCTGGCTTTAATGCAATCAATGACTGTGCCGAATTCCACAGTGGCTGGGGAAGTGTGGACACGGGGGCTACAGCCAGAGGTGTCAGAGAGGAGGCTGTAGAGGTGAAAGGGATGAGTCCATCAGGGCAAAGTCTAGAGCTGGCCAGAAAATCTGTGTCTCTCAGTTTCTCTGAGCACTGCCAAGTTCCCTTCCAACCAAGGACCCCACTCTGTTTTTCCTTGCTCATTAAGCTTCTGGGTCTTTTGTTCCCCAATGAGCCAGTAATTCTCAAATAAAAAATTATTATATCCATTGCAGGATATAATAGACTAAGTGAGGATATGAGTATTGGTGGAAGTAAAGCACATCTATTAGAATTCAGTCCTCTTTATGTAGTGTAGGATTATAGCCACCTTGAAAAAATAATTAAAGGAAAAAAATTCAAGTATTTCTCTCATTACAGGCCTCACCACAAATTCTGAAAACTTTTCTTTTTCAATTTGTAAAAAATAATATTGGATCTAGCAGTTACTCAATATTATTCAGCATAGGCTAGATTTTGCTGTTATAACAAATGAATCCCAAATCTCAGTGCTTTATCTTATACTCACTCACACAGACATAACTCTAGTTTTACTTAGTATCCCTGGTTTACAGAGGCTCCCCCATGTTGTAGCAGCACCTTCTGAAACACAGCATCCTTTATCGTTGGGGAAGGGGAAGAGATACAGGAGAACCATTGATGGGGTTTCCATCTCTTCAACCTGGAAGTGACACATATACTTTTCTCTTCCATTTCATCAGCCAAGACTGGTCACATGCTAGTGCTGAACTGAAAGGGGGCAAAGAAATACGGGAAGGCAGATGGAATTCGGTCGAGCACCAAATATTCTGCCGTGCTCCCCAAACATACCACATTCAGAAGGGGTGTAAGCCTGAAATGTTTAGTTGATAGAGGGATGATATTATTCTTTCAATTCTGTCATTTCAGTTTCTCTTCTGAGTGAGGATACGCTGATTATTATACAGTGGCTGAAGGCACCAGACATATTTCCATAGTTCTACTTCATGTAGAATATTAAATAAACAAATGTCATTTCCAATTAAGACTTTCATTTCTTTTCATCTAATATAAAATGTATCGAGTCATTTCCAAATTAGAGATTTGCTTCTGTTTATATTTTTTTGTGGTCTTACTGTAACATTCTCTAAGAAGGGTAGGCTCAGAGCTACTGCTTGTCCCAAGTGTACTGTTTGTATGTTGATTGATTTGAAACATAACTTCAAAAAAATGTGAAAGTGTCTTCCAATTTTTAAATAAGATGCAGTTGTGCTCTGTTTTTTAAATGATATACTGTGTTGGCATGGTATCTCTATGGTGTCATCATTATTGTAATACTGAAGGTTCAGACAAGCCCTCAATTGTGTTTTCACTTATTTTGGAAAATTGGATTACATCAATAAATTTACCAGGAAAAGGAACATGGTTCAAATATTTTTTTAAAAGTCTTTTAAATATGGTTCTAGAACTCAAATTGAACATCATTGTAAAATGTGTTTGGAGATGTTGGAAAACCATCTGTAAATTGCTGTCAAAAGAATTATTATATCGTTTGAGAAGTTAAACTGGAGGACTTCTTGATTTTCGTAGGTTTCATTCTTCTCCACAGTGTTTTGTTCCAGGGCCTGATATGTTTATTAAACTTTTTTTTAATATTTTAAATTATTTAGTCCTAGGTCCAGGCATGGAGTATTTTCCTCCCTTTTTAAAGGAAAAATTTACTAACAAATGATCATGATTTTTAAGCTAATATGATGGGCAAGAATTGTACTTTCTATTCCAGCATTACAGTAGACTAAATTCTCTGAAGTTCCTCTCAATATATCTGCAATGAGAAAATGCATTAATTATAACAAGCATAATTTTTAACTATGTGTTTTTGCACTAAAGATTGGAAATTAGCAAGGGCAGAAAGAACAGAGTAGTGAGAATTAAGACGTTAAAGAAGACTGAAGTCAGGAGCTAATTACATACCATGTTTACTGATGGGAAGACTCAGTATCTTAAAAAACAGCAGTTCTCCCAAAATTGATACATGTGGTCAGTGCAGTTATGATCAAAATCCAAACGGAATGCTTTTTTGAAGAATGTGACAGTAAATTTATGGCCTTTAGTTTAAAACCACTAAAAAGTTAAAAAGCCACAGTATGTAAAAAGATAGTTACAACACATTGCCTGCAAACGAATGTTATCTAAAATGTAACATGTCCTAAAATAATTTTTATAAACTATCAAATTTTTTAAATACCTGAAAAGAATTTCACAAAAGAGGCAGCACAATTGGCCAATAAGCATAGGAAAACTTGTTGAACTTATTGGTAAGAATCAGT